AACATTCTGTCCTTTTATAGGTACTTATTTTAAAATTGACTCAAAGCATGACAGTGATAAAAAAAAAATTCATTCTCTTATTTTAAAATTATTCAAAAGTATTGATCTTTTAATAAGGGTTGTGTCATCTCCAAAATAATTTATAGTTATTAGTATATTGTTAAGGTCGCATCTTCTCTTGATAAAACTATTTTATGATTACTTTCAAGAGTCATCATTTTCCGGATTTGTGTCTTTTAAAAAATAGTTGTTTGTGGTTATTAGTATATCCTTCTGTCGGTTTAATTCTCGATAACACAGTTTTATAGTTATTTTGAATAGTTGTGTTTTTTAAGGGTTAACTTTTTTTTTTCAAAATACCCGTTTGGCCTATCTTATTGTTATGTTATATATAAAACGATTATATAAAAAAACGCTACCCTATGATAGTTATTTTAAAGATTTGCGTCTTCTTAGAAAAAAATCGTTTGATCTATATATGACATTGCATATGTTTGCGTTTTAAACTCTATATATTTCTTCCCTTGAACATATTATTTATTTATAGCTACTAAATTTGAAATTCACTCAAAGAGCTACAATGATAAAGAAACGTAATTCTATTATTTTAAAATTATCCAAAACTATTAGTCTTTTCACTATTGTAGAAGTTCATATAATTCTCTATATATGTAAAAAAAATTGGAATTCTTATGACAATAAAGATTTTATTATTAGTTTTAAATATCAAAATTAATGAATTTTCAACTATATTTTTTTCAAAATAGGTGGTGGATGCACAGTACAAGGGTTAAACCTAGAAAATGCATTGACGGTTGTGTCTTTTCAAAATAATCGTTTCATATTTATCAATATATTATAGGAAGGTCTTTTCGATAAAGCCATTTTATGGTTATTTACGATGATCATTTTTTCGATAAAAACCACTTTATGGTTATTTCCAAGTGGTCGTGCCTTTTTGATAAAACTGTTATATGGTTATTTCCAAGGGTCATGTACTTTCAATAAAACCGCTTTTTAATCACTATATCATAGGTTGCGTATTCTCGAAAAACTGCTTTAAACCCATTTTATAGTTATCAATATATTAAAGGGTTGTGTCTTTTCTACAAAACCGTTTTATAGTTATTTCAAAATGTTGCTCTTTTATGATAAATTCTCTTTATTGATATTTCCAAGAGTCGTGTCTTTTAAAGAAAATATTTTGTAGTTATCAATATATAATATAGATTGCGTCTTTCGAGAAAAACGCTAGAGATATGTGTTTTTATAGTGTTTTTCTAACTCTATATATTTGTTTTGTTGAATATTTTTTCATTTATACTTAATAATTTTAAAATTTATTCAAAGCATGATATTGATAAAAAAAAAGCGTCAAAAAATTGTTTTCGAGTCTCATAACATTTTTTTATTCAAAGAAATATTCTAAAAAGTATTTTGGAGGATCGCATTTCTTTCTCATCAAACTTTCGTTTATACCAAATTTTTAATATTCTTAAAATGCTTTGAAAAGTCTTGGTTTTGCATTTTTTACATTTTCATTTTTACGGATAACAATTCTACAAAATATGTTAGCTGTTCCTTATCATTATTATATATACGCAAACCGTTTAGAAATGCGTTAAACTTTGATTAATTGTTACCAAAAATGCAAAATCACATTTCTGTGTTTTGCTCGCCATTTTTTCACTAAAAATATTAGATAAAAAGATGATTCCACATTTTCAAATTATCGCGTTTTATGTGAATTTTGAAATTTTTCTTTTTTTGCTAAATATGAAAATTATTTTAAATATTAATTAATTGATATAAACAGAAGTTGTAAATATTATTTTAGTCATATTTTAACAATGTAAATTTAAGTATTGTTTAGTAAATTAATTTTTTGACATTAAACTTTTGAAAGCAATTTAATAAATGATTAGGTAAGGAAAAACAATTGAGAAATATGTTGGTAATAACATCTT